GAAGAATAATGGCCAAGAATTTTACAAATTTCATTAAAAAAATCAATCCACAGACCCAAGATACTCAAAAAATCTCAGGCTGGAAAAACACAAGGCAAACCACACAGATGAACATATTTATTAAATTTCTGAAAACAAGAGATGAAGAGAAAAATCTTAAAAACAGCCAGAAAAATATATGTATAGAGGAACAAATATATAAATCTAATTTCTCATCAGAAGCTATGCATGTCAGAAGAATGGAAAAAGATCTTTAAAGTGCTGAAAGAAAAAAAGAAACTGTAAACCTGGATTTTTATACCTGATAAAAATATCCTTCAAAAATGAAGGCAAAGTGAAGATTTTTCAGAAAAAAATCTGAGAGAAGTTTGGCTAGCAGACCTGGATGACAAGAAATGTTAAAAAATAAGTTCTTCAGATGGAAAGAAAATGATAACTGAAGATTTGGATCTACAGAAAGGAATGAAAAGCTCCAGAAATGGTAAATATAAAATAGCTTTTTATTTGCTATTAAATTTCTGTAAAAATAATGAATTAATAAAGCAAAGTCATACAAATGTATAGTGATTTTGACCTATGTGAGAATAAATTCTGTGATAAAATAGCACAAAGTACATGAAGGGGGCAATTGGAAATATGTTATCAAAAGGTCTTTAATTTATTTGTGAAGTGGTATAATATTAACTGAAGGTAATTGTGGTAAGTTGGAGATGTATATTGTAAACTCTAGTGGAAAAATAAATAAACAGAGAAGTATAGCTTAGAAGCCAATGGTGGAGTTAAAATAGAATGATAAAAAAAATAGTTAATCCAAAAGAAGGCAGTGAAAGAGAAAAAGAGCAACTAAGAACATTTGGGTCAAATTCAAAACAAATAACAAAAAGCTAAATTTAAACCCAATTCTGTCGTTAATTATATTGAATATAAATAGTAAATATTCTGAAAAGGCCTGGATAAAAATGAGAGATAAACTATGTGCTGACCATAGGGAAACCACTTGAAAATAAAGACACAGGTAGGTTAAAATTAAAAGTATTGAAAAAAGATGCAATGTATATATACTAATCATAAGAAAGATGAACTGGCTATATTAATATGAGACAAAGTATAATTCAAAACAAGAAATATTACCAAGACTAAAGAGGAAGGTTGTATAAGAATATGAGGGTAATTCATAAGAAGACACAACAATCCTAAATTGTACCCAATTAACAGAGCTTTAAAATATATGATCCCAAGATGGACTGAACTGAAAGAAGAATTAGACAAATCCATAGTTGTATTTGGAGACTTTAACATTCCTCTTCTTATGCCTAACAGCAAATTAGACAGAAACAACACTAAAGATATAAAAAAATTGAACGTCAGGCAAATTGACCTAACTGACATTTATAAAATATTCACAAAAGCAGAATTCACATTCTTTTCAAAAATTCATGGAACATTCACCAAGATAGACCATATGCTGAACCGTGAAACAATTCTCAATAAATTTAAAAGGACTGAAATCATGCAGAGTATATCATTTGACAAGAGCAGAACTAAATTTGAAATCAATAACAAAATGATAATTGCTGAATATTTGGAAATTAAGCAACACACTTCTAAATAATCCATGGGTCAAAAAAATAATGCAAAGGAAACTAGAAGACATTTTGAACTGGAACTTAAAGGGAAATTTTACCTTTAAACACTTATTTTAGAGAAGAAAAAGGGTTCAAAATTAATGATCTAAGCTTCTACCTCTAAGCACTGTGTTAGCTACTTATCACAAATTTTGAAATGTTTTGTTTCATTATTCCATTCAAAATATTTTATAGTTTCCCTTGTATTGTCAAAGCAATATTGCGTACTGTGGGGAGTGACAGAGATCAGTGCCAGCTTAAAGACTTAAAGGACATAGGGTTTGGTGGCCCCCATTATATCTCCATTAATTCATCAGTGTGACCCTTACAAAAGTCAGACGGCTCCTGATAGATGACAGAGTCTACTGCAAACTCAACTTAAGTAGAACCCTAATTGCAGCTGTTATGCAAGATATGGTATCTTTTATAGAATAATTTATAGGGTCTCCGATACATGGCATGTGTACACTGGTGTGACAGATGTGTTCTTTCCATCCGTATCAGAAAAGGGAATGAAGTACAGTTTGCATTCACTTGGAATATACAAGAGTATGCATTTAGTCTTGCCCCAGGGCTATGTTAACTCTCCTTCCCTCTGTCATAAGAGAGTGTGAGGAAATCTGAGCTGTCTGGACATCAGGAAGAAAATCATACTTATATTCATGATGTTATAATAGTCGGACCATATGAGCAAGGACTGTACATTAGAGGGGTTGATAAGACATATGCACTCTAGGGAGTAGGAGACAAACCCTATGAAGATTCCTTTGGAAAGGCAGTGATTCACTTTCACAGGAATAGGCACCTATTCCAGATGTGGATTTGCCTTTCCTGTCTGCAGGGCCTCACCTGGTACCACTATCTGGGAGCTTAGAGACTCTGTTCACTGCCACAGGATCCCACATAACATTGCATCAGACAAAGGGACACACTTTACAGTTAAGGAGGCATTAGAGATTCACTTATATATCATTCCACTCCATCCAGACACTGCCCACCCAAAAGAGTGCTGGAATGGCTTGTTGAAGATGCAGCTGAGGCATTGGGGTGAGGATGATTTGTCATCTTCCAGGATGCAGTATATACTCTAAATCAATGACCTTTGTTATGTCACTGTGTCCTCAAAAGGTAGAATACATGGACTTGTAATGAAGTGGGTAGAATGGGAGTATTTCACTTGGAGAACTTATGCATCCCTTATGGCAAATCTGAATTCTGAGTGTTTGGAGGTCTTCCAGCAAAGGGGAGTACTTTCAAGAGAACACAGGGAGAGACTCATTGAAATAGAAGTTAACTGTTTTCAGGGTGCTTTGAGCTCCTTATATCAAGGGACCATCAGGCAAGAAGGGAAGTCACCATCCTGATAGCGGTAATTATTTCTGATTATAAGGAAGAGGAATTGCTCAGTGGCAGTAAGAAGGAAGGTTTGGTCTCGAGGTGATCCACTTTGGCATTCTTTTGGTGTTCTTTTGCGTCTTGATAGCAAATGGACAAATGCAACAGTCATGGTCTAAGAAGGACATGGTGACCATGGCCTCAGACCCTTCCAGAATGAGTGGGTCATATCACTAGGTAAGCCACCAAGACTAGCAGAGATTCTAGCTGAGGGTGAGGGGAAATCTAGAATGCATAGTGGAGGAGGGAATGATGAATATCACTTGAAGCTCTAAAACAAACTGCAGTGTGGTAGGGGCTGTAGTTTTCCTAGAACTTACATGAAGAAGTGGATCCAAGCAGCACAAGCAGTGGACTCTAGTGGATGCTGTGACATGCTCCCCAGATGTCATTTCAGGACTGAAGGACCTCCTTCCTCAGAAGCTAGAAATCCTGTTGATGATAGAACTCAGCTGTCAGTCATCTCCAGAGTTGACTTTAGCAGGAAAGAGCTGCCTCACCCAAGATCACGCTTCCTTTCCAGGACTGCATCCAAGGGCAGGTTGAGGTGGGGATCTAAAGGTCTGGCCCATTGCTGCAATGCAGGACAACTCGGAAGGGTCATTTCAGTTAGGGAGCTCTCTGTGGGGTTTGTCGAGGACTTTGTTGAGAGTGCATTATAGCCCAACTTCTCCTTCTGCTCAATCCTGAGTTCCTGCCTTCCATAGGCGTTCATCTAAGATCACTTTCTAATAAACTTCTCGCATGTTGATCTCTGTCTCAAAGTCTTCTTTGTGGGAAATATAGTCTTCAATAGTAACTTTATTACCTCAGTCCACGAATGGACTAGTGTGGTGTGAACCCATTTAAGCTGCTTATAGCAGAGCAAACCCTCTTTGGAAAAAGATTACATTATCAAGGGACGTTATAATTTTTACACCCAATGACTTTCAATAAAAAAATTGCCAAACATATCCAGAAACAAGACCACAAGGAAGTAACAATCAATAGAAACAGACCAATAGATGACTCAGCTCTTTGATTTGTCAGATACAGACTGAAATAATTGTAATTAATATCTTTAATAAATGCAAGATGGCATTTTCAGCTGTGAATTAGAATGTATATAAAAGAATGAAATAGAAGTTTTAGAACTATACATGCAACAGAAGATTGGACATAGCAGAAGAGAGGATTAGTGAACTGGATGAGAGTTTAGTAGAAAATATTCAGGCTGAAATATGGAGCTCAAAAAGGATGGAAAATACTAAAAGGAGCATTAAGAAATATATGGACATTGTGGAAAGTTTTTATATATATGTAGTCAGAGTCTTCAAAGGCAAAATTAGAGAGAATGGGTCAGAAGAACAAGCAAAGAGATAAACAGCTGAGAATTTTCCAAAATTGGTAAGATAAATTCATCCATAGATTCAGGAAGTGCTACAAATTCCAGAAAAATAAATATAAAGACAACCATATGTTGGCATATCATATTCAAACTGATGAAGGTAAAAGAGAAAAATTTTAGAAGCATCCAAAAAAAAATACAAGTTTCGTGCATGTATCCTTTTATAAAGGATCATTTAATATGAATGACTTACTTGAAATACTTTCATTAGTAATTATCATAAGGAACAAATGTATTTTGTCAGGATTTTGGTAAAGATTGAGGAAGTCTTATTGCAAATAATCTGCTTGATACTTCCAATTTTTGGCTGACTTTTCCAGTTTTTCACAATCTTTTATCTTGTCATGTAGCTAACAAAGAACTTGTATGTGGATCAGGGAAAATGTCGATTCTGACAGGTCTTGATATTATTGCATTTTTGAAAGTGCATTTTTTTTAAAGATTTTATTTTTTCCTTTTTCTCCCCAAAGCCCCCTGGTACATAGTTGTATATTCTTTGTTGTGGGTCCTTCTAGTTGTGGCATGTGGGACACTGCCTCAGCATGGTTTGATGAGCAGTGCCATTTCAGCGCCCAGGATTCGAACCAACGAAACACTGGGCTGCCTGCAGCGGAGCACGCGAACTTAACCACTCGGCCTCGGGGCCAGCCTCGAAAGTGCATTTTGAAAGTTAAAGTTGCTATACCTTCAATCCACTGTTCTTTACAGCAGTATTTTTAAGCTCTTTTTCCACTTTGTGATGGTCGGTTTAGTTAACTTCCATAAATCGCCTTAATTGGACATAAACTGCTGCATGTTAAAACATACACTGAAAGTTAATGAAGGCATGAGGGGACTGTGGGATTCCCTCAGCTCTGTGGAGTTCCCACCTCCCTCCAGACACCTCCCATTATCTAAGACCTTTTGTTACTCACAATGTGATATGAGCACCAGCAACAGCGGCATGTCCTGGAACCTTATTAGAATACAGAATCTCAGGCCCCAATCTAACACTACTGAATGAAAATCTGTATTTGGACAAGAACCCCAGGTGATCCACATGTGTATTAAAATTTAAGATGCATGCTCTAAGCAACACATGACTATCTGGCATAAGGATTTAGTGAGAATGCCAATATATGAAACACTTGCAATGCTTAATTTCATATATTATTAAATAAAATTAAATGTAGCTAGGAGCATCAGCTAGGCATATGGTTGCCCAGAATAAAAATACATTTCTCAGCCCTCCTGCAGGTAGATGAGGCCATGTAATTCAGTCCTGGCTGATGAAATTGAGCAGAAGGGATGTGCTCCAATTGCAAATTGAGCCCTTTATAGGAGAAAGCATTCCCTCTCCATTGCCACTCCTGGCTAACTGGAATTCAGACGTGATCGTGGGAGCTGGAGCAGCCATCTTTGGCCACAAGAAGGAAATGATGTGTTAAGAGTGACAGAACAACAGGGTAGAATTTGCATCCCTGATGATTATGGAGGCACCACCCTAGCCTTAGAAAGAGAAATGACGCATTAACTTTGTTTAAACCATTGCTAATTTGGGTCTATGTTACATTAGCCAAATCTATAATCTACTTAGTGTGGTCATAAAGCAGGTAACACCATTGTCCTCTTGGGACATCTAGGATTGTTTGTAGGAGACCAGGCTGTGAGGCTAGAACTTTGCCATTATGAACGGAACTCTGCCCAGAGAGCAGTACCTTCTTCTCTTTCTCCCCAGTTACATGTCTCAGCAGATGCATTCTTGTGGCTCAGGGCTCACCCTCTGGTCTTCTCCTAGTCCTTTGGCAGACATAACTCGTTGTAGAGAAGAGGATGAAAAAGAGCACCTGGAGATTTTCCCCTAAAGTTTTCAGTTTGAAGGAGATTGGTCTTTTTTGAGAAAGTTTAAAATGATCTCTTAGCCAATAAATCCAGAGTTGAATAGCACTGTGGATGTGTGACTCACTCAAATAATTTCACTTCATTAGATGCTTCTTTGGAAATTTGGAGCTTTGCATTATCCCTCTGGTGGAAAGTAGGGAAATGGCAAGATAATTCGTAAGGAAATTCCAGGAAATGCCTCTTTTCTAAGTTTTTACCTGTCCCTTGGGGCCCTGGGTGGAGAGAAGGTCATCTTTTGATTAAGTTACATCAAGTCAGACTCAATTTCTTCACTTGTAAATGGGGCACGTATACTCAGGCGGGGCAAGAATTATCTTCCTGAGTCACACAGAGGGTTTGAGTGAACTGACCAGCATCGCAGAAATAATATGTGACAGAGATGAAGCTTGAACCCAAGCCTCTTGAGACTAAGTGCAATGCTCCATCTCAGATCCATTCAGTGAGGCTGCCTAAGCTGAAAGAAGCCAGAGGAGCTTGCTGGGAAGTGACTTGACTGGAGTGAAGAGTGGTTGGATGAAGGCAGACTTGAGATGATGCTGAGATGCTGAGCAGAGCAGAGCTTGAGATGGTCCTGGGTTGGACCTGGAAAACTGGGACCTCCAAACAAGAACCAGAGAAATGCCTTAAAAGGCAAGCAGTTCTTGGGATTCATCTGAAGGAGAGCTGAATGGATATGAGCGCATGTATCCACAAGAACATCCCTAGCAGAATTGCTTGTAATAGTAATGAAGTGGAAACAGCCTAAATGTCCAGCAATGGGGGACTTAAAAAGAAAGCTGGCACAATCATACAGGGAAATATTGTCTCCAATCAAAACGATGATGAGTTGTTCTTAATTTTTGGTTTGTGGTCCTTTTTGAAACTCCAAGAACCACAGATCTTCTCCCTAGTTAAAAGCCGTGTATTCTTATACACACAAATTGCAACCAGAAATTTCAGAGGGTTTCACAATTTTCCTGAAGCCAGTCCATAGGACACTATGTTAAGAATCCCGACGTTAGATGTATTTTAATGACCTGGAAAAGTGTTTGTGCACAGCATAATTTTTGCATGAAAAAAAAAACTTTATGAAATGGCAGGTATGAGACGATAAGATTTTATTTAAAAAATGTAAATCTCTTTCTACTTATGCAGAAAAGAATCTGGAAGTTGCACAAGTCAGATGCACAGGACAGTGCTCAGAGCTGTGAGGACTCCAGAGGAGGCCAGGTGTATGGCAAGTGTACCCAAGAGCCCCATCTTCTGTTGATGTAGGCCCAGGGGCCTGGCCATGCCTAATCCAAGGAACCCTGTCCCTTCTCTGATAGGGGAGTGCACCCCTGAAAAATTGCATGAGCACAGTCACTTCTTCCATGCGCAGGTTCTTGAGAACCTGCAGAGCTGGCTCTAGAGTATGACATTGAGTCCTAGTTGCCAGAGTGACCTTGAAAAATGGGAGCATATCTAAGGGAGGAGAGCAAGGATGGAGAGGGGGCCAGGGTCCATGCAAAGGAAGGATTGGTGAAAGACCCTAGGAGTCTAGCTGGGAGAAGAGATGACTAAGGATGGGCAAGGTCATTGTCTTCATGTATTTGAAGGCTGTCCTGGAGAAGAGGGGACACAGTTATTGTGTAATAATTTAAACCAATGTATATTATGCAATGTGCCTTGGGCCTTGTGCTAAGAGCTGGAGAAGCAGATGATGCAGTTTCTCCTATGTAATAGGGAAAGACAGAGGGTTTAACAAACATCCCAATATAGTCTGATGTGTGCCATATAGTAAAGATATGTAGGAGAGCTCCAGGAAAATAAAGGAGCAAATGAACTACAGTACCTGGGGAAGTGGATTAACAGAACTTTTCCAGGCTTAGAAAGGTGACACAGAGAATTCCAGGCGGAAAGAACAACATAAATAAGTTCAGAGATGTGAAAAGTAGATTACATAGAGGAGAGAGGAGGCAGAGAGGGCTGGAGATTTAGGTGGCTTCCGAAGTGTGAAGATTCTCACCTTCTATGCTGAAACATCTGAACCTGTCTCTATGGGAACCATAGAAGGTATCACCTCTCCCCATCCTGTGATGGAACTAGGTCCAACAATGGCAGGTACAACGAGTCAGAACTGCCTTGGGAGAGAATGACTCTCCATCAGGCAGAGGCTGGTCAGCCCCTTGTCAGAGGTCAATCAGAGAGACAACTACCAGATGCGGCATTTGACAGGACTTTGCGATCCCTTCCACCCCAAAGAGTGACTCCAGCCCCAGCTTTTCAGGGAAATCTATCTATTTGTATGTCTCCTTCTGTAAATGAAACAGCCTGGAGGTACCATATATTTTTGCTTTTGAATTTAGCAAACTTTTTATTATCCTAAAAGCTGGAATGAGAATTCATCTATGAAGGGATCTTCTTATTTAGAAAGATCATCTGGAAAGTCACTTTGAGTGGCAGGTGAGACCCCCAATGGGCTTGGTAGGAGCTCAAGAAAAAGAAAAACTATGGTTAAGCTGTCAAGCTTTGGAATATAAGAGGAATTAAGAGATAGATCTCTATATATCAATGAGGGAGAGGAGAGATCGGGGCATACAAAGGAATGGGGAAGGAGGGACTAGAGAGATGGTGTATGGTTGAGGACTACAGGGGGGAAAGCCAGAGCCACCACACGCAGGGGCTGCAGGTTGCCAATGCTCAAACTGGCTGGCTGAGGGGGCAGGTGGGGGCTTCAATGAAACCCGTGCTCTGCTCTCCAACTCATGCTCCCTGGGTCTATGAACATGTGGATGGAACGTCTCTGTGGCCTGGTGATAACTCTGGGAAGATCATCCTATGGAAACTCCCTCATGGTAGGGTGGCCAGAGGAAAGTTTCACTAGAGAGATGCCTAATGTTAACCTCAAAGTTGTGATGTAACTCTTTCTACCTCCTACATAAATCTTCAAGTAGGTGTATTCCACTTGGCAGCTCTTTGTGCAAGATGCCACACACACGTGTGTGGAAATTGAGGAAGGGCTGGATTTCATGTCTGGGTTGTAGCAATGTGGAGTAAACAACACTTGCAGAATCAGGAACCCAGATTTGGAGACATCAAGAATGCAATCCCTACCTGGAAATCAGAAATCTGACAGGCGTTGGTTTTCCACGGAGCATGTGGTGAATGATTTGAGTCAACTTTATCTGGATTTTAAAGGGCAGGGAGGAAGCAAGTGACATCGGGGTGACATTTCATTGTTTTGGTGCCTCCAGCAAGATGTTGCTGATAAATTTACTTTATGGCTATCTGTCTCCTGCTCAAGTAAGCTGTTATTGCATCAACAATAGTTTACACAAATCATTGAGGTTTCAAGGAAGCAGTTTAAAACAACAATTGTATGAGTGAATGAGATTCTTATCTTCAGGATTCAAAGCTGTATGGTTCATTTATATAGGTTATCTTCTGGAATGTATTTTTATAGACTCTGTAATTGGATGGGGCGTCTGAGGGCAATGAATAGTATGGAAGGGTAAACAGTTGGAAGTCTTGGCTTCAAGACCCAGCTCTCATGCTAAGTTGCTGTGTGAATTAGGACATACTCTAGCCCTCTCTCATATATAATTTTCCTGTGATATAGAAGTATTAAACAAAAATGGTCTTCAGCATCTGCGTTAAGACTAGATTAGTTGTACAAAACAGTGATTTAAATAGGATAAGAATGCTTTTCTTCCTTATACAGAGGTCTTAAGTAATAGATGTTGCTAAGAAATCCTCAAGGACCCAGGATCCTTTTGTTTTTCCAGAAAGCAGGAAGGTATAAAAAGCCAAGAACATACCACCTCTACTGATTAAATGGACAACCTGGAAGCTGCACACCGCATTTCAACTCACATCCCCTTGGCTAGGACTTTGTCATATGGCCTAACCTAGCTGCAAAGTGGACTGGGGAATATAGTTTTTATTCCTACCTGCTACAATGCCAGCTAAAAACTGGGTAAAATTGTTCTGCAATGCCCATTCTCTTCTTTTCTCAGTGATGGACCCTAAAAACTGGAGTTCCGTCACTCTGAGAGAAGAAGAATGGGCATCGCAGAACAATTAGAAGTCTCTGCCAAGGGTTCCTTCCAGACGTAACAGTCTAGGATTCCAGGTGTTATCTACAGTTTGAATGATCGGATATCAAACCATCCTTTACCTCCAGGGAATCCTTGAATTAGCGAGTACTGTAGACCAGGATTGTCCCATAGAAACATAACGTGGGTCACATAGAAATTTTAAAATTTATAGTAGGCACAGTAAAGAAAGCAAAAGAAACAGGTGAAATTAATTTTAATAATATATTTCGTTTAAACCCATCATGTAACCAATGTAAAAAGTTGTTAAAGTTTTACATTTCTGCTTTCATACCCAGTCTTTGAAATTCAGTTTGTAGTTTACACTTACAGCACGTCTGCATTTGAACTAGTCAAACTTCCGGTGTTCACTAAGCACATGCAGCCAGTGGCCACGCTGTAAGACGATACAGTTGTAGATTGTGTTAACAAGGCTAATAGCAGCAAGGTATGCATGCATAAATTACTTTGTTATAAAGGGAATTTGCTAAGTAATTAATGCAGATTTAACTCAGTAGTGTAGTCTGCACGAATAGGAAAGAGAACATTATCTTCTCCCCTGAGGTTTTCCTATGGAAAAGCGACCATAGATTATCCACTTTCTGCATCATTTGAGGTCTAACCAGATGCCCAGACCAACTAGCCAAGTCAGGGAGGACTGGTTGGAATCCAGTTTGCCACTTACCAGCTATGTCATCAAGAGGAAGATGCTTAATTCCTCTGAGAGCAAGTCCTTATCTGTAAAAATGTCACATATTGAGGTATTGTTTTTTTTAAAAATGTTATCTTTCAGAAGCCAAACTCAGCAGAAATAGCACTGGACCGAGAATAAAAGATTGGGATTGTCGCTTCAACTTCTCCCTGACTCTGTGTACTGACAAACTTGGCTTCTCTCTGGATCTTGCTTTTCCCATTTTGAAAGCTGGAGGTGGGGGCCATATATTAGATGCCTACTGATTGGTCTTTTTTCTTTTCAAATGGAATCACTTGAAATTAAAGTAAAACTAAAATATTCCCACTTCTAGGATATGGTTAGGGAGACGGTTGCTTTCTCACCGTCCAATAAGTTCATAAAAGAGAGAACTGAGATCTGGAAGGCTGACACATCTGTAGTATACAATGTTTTTAAGTAGACACATTCTTTGCAAGGAGAAGTAAGAAGGATCAGGTGGAAATCTCTCTTATGTTTGTGACTGAGCCTTTAGCATAAAGGTTGAAAAAAATCTCCAGGAGCTCTCTACCATTGCTAGTGGAAATGTCTACTGGGGAATCTTTCTGGAAGCCAATTTGGCAAGACGTATCAAAAGACTTTTAAAATGTGTACATCCTTTCACGTAACAACTTTATGCTTAAGAATTTAAGGAAACAATCTGATGTTCACAAAGATCTGTTTATTTAAGCGTTCATTGTTCTATTACTGACACCACAAGCAACATGGAAACACTCTGGCTGTAAAAAATAAGGAAATAGTCAAAGAGTTATGGTACAGGCTTATGTGAGGGTATTATTAAACCAGCAAAATCTATGTTTTTGAAGAATATTTAATGATGTAGGGAAATGCTTCACTTCAAAGTTGAGCCATAAATGATCGCTAACAATATGTTTCCAACCATCTTTTTAAGTTGACTCTTTCCCAGAGGGTCCCCCCGTGGTCTCTGTCCTCGCTTTCCATCTTCTTCTCCCTACTTCTCCCCTGCCTCATCTGTCCTCAGAGTGAATCTTCATTTTCTTATAGTGCAAGGGTTTCTTAACCTTGACACTCTTGATATCGTGGGCTGGATGGTCCTTCGCTGCCAGTGAGGCAGGGCTGTCCTGTGCTTTGTAAGATGCTGAGAAGCATCCCTGGCATCTGCTCCTGAGATGCCGATGGCATGCTTCTCCCAGTTGGGAGGACCAACATAGCTCCAGATATTGCCAAACCACACGCCCCTTCCTCTAGTTTGGTGATTATCCAAGTTTGGTGATTTTTAAATTATCTTGCCGGTGGAAAGTGGAAATTGATGATTCTTCCTGATTCCTCCACCTCCTTTCACACACACACACATACACACACACCACTCAAACACAGTCTCATACTCCATGTTGACACAAATATTAGTTCTCACAGCCCAGTCTCTGTGCACAGTGGACATTTCCCTCCACGGGGCATTTTTGGCACAGATCTCTCTCCACCATGGGAGCAGGGCTCTGTGAGTATACAGAGCAGTCTTTCCTCTCTTGATTCATCCTCTGGTTTCCACTGTGAAGGGAGACACCTGCACTCCTAGAGCTCAATGTTCAGGACTTGGAGCTGAGGCCCAATGTGACTTTACCAGTTGTTCTAGAAAATTCTTGTGCAGGAAGATAAAGCTGTAAACCAGGAAATAACTTCATTCTTAACCTCAGGCACCTCATGAAACTCATTTATCTTGTTTGGGAAAATTGGATGCTCATCTGGGCAAACACCACCCTTCCAAGGACAATAGATTGATTGCTCAGCTGGCTTTTGCTTATCAAACAACCATTTATACAGGAACACTTCCCTCAGGACTCCGGCCTTTCCATGTCCTCCAAGTCTAAGCTCTAAGGACAAAGATCTACCTGAAACACTCAAGTCCGCATCCTCAGACCTTATAAATGTCACCCTTGAGCTCCCCTTTCTGAGACACATGAAGACTCTTTCAAGGTGGTGTTCTCCCTTACGTTGCCAGTGAAAACTCAACTTTACCTTGATAAATGGAGGTCTCTTTGGGGAACTGACAGTCCCCAAGGGCCAGTCTACTTTTAAAGAAGGGGTACCACCAGAAAGCCATGGACCCCATGATGCTTCCAGAAAGACCAGAGGAAATTTTGAAACAGCAGTTTTTCTGCATCTTTGGCCAGATAAGATTCCTAGTTATGGTGTCCCCACATTACACTCTATAAGGAGAAAGGAAGCAACAGGAGCATCAATGATCCTCCTGCCCAAGGAGAGTGAGTGTAAGTGGAATAGAGTTGGGGCCACAAGCTTCCTAAGCATAGGAGAAAGAAAAGCATAGAAACGCACACACACACATATATGCAGGCATACATACCGTGGAATTGTGGGTTATTTCATTTTTATACTTTTTCATATTATTAAATTTTTTTCTTAATGAAGATGTCTTTCTGTTCATTAAAGTAATTACTGTACTAATTTCAGATGAAAAAAATGAGTTAACATAATTCTCTCCTAGAACATACTGGGACATCCAGGATATTAGCTTCAAAGAAGTGCCAATGAGGTCAAAGACTTTGTCCCGGGGACCTTCCCTTTTCTGTACAGTTCAGGAAAGCACTAACGAAAGCTTCTACAGAGTTGGGAGTGTGTCAGCTGTACCAAGTATTAACGTGAAGTATGAATGCAAAAGATTATAATTGCTTTTCTTTTTTTCTTTCTCACATTTTTAAAATAATCTCATGGCCACTAGTAAATGCACTCACAGTGAGTTGGAGTGGGTAAGCTATGGGGCATATGACAGGACACAGTGATCAGGCACTAAAATAAGTCATACTGCTGGTCCCCGGGGACATGCATGGGTGTATAGGCTGAGTATGCCGTTGACCCAATAGGTCTCTGTAAAGAAGAGCTCTCTGGGCCTGACTTTACCTCTCCCACTCACCGCTTACTAATTTTGTGTCCATGAGTAAAGAAACTTTTGACTACAGTTTCTTCACCTGCAAAGGTGAAATACCAGTACCGACCCAGTGAACCTCATAGGTTTATTGTAAAGACCAAAAGAGATCATGGATATACCCGTGTTTGGGAAATAGTTCAAATGCACAGCATTAAGAGAATACTTAGTTTTTCAAATGTCTCCTGGACTGATATTAACATAGATGAAGATAATCAGCCCACACCCAGTTTAAGTGCTGGGGCTACTTAGCTCCATGGGATGGCTTGAGGAAGAGGTATAGGCATGTGGGGATCTCCGCCTTATCTTGGAGGACAAGGGACCTGACTGGAGGCCCTCAGCTTGGAGCCTGGTTCCCCCAGGGCTGTGTGGGTGCTGGGTATGCCCGCTGAGAGCACGCCTAGGAGGAATGTTTGGGACCTCTTGCCACAGCCGCCCACTGTCCCTCATGAACATTTCATGCCCAGCATGTAATCTGCAAATTGGATGTTCCAGGGTGGAGTCAGAGGAATGAGAGGAATGAGGAAGACCAGACAGATAGGCACAAATCTCTTCCCTCCACTACTTATTCTTGTGTGCCCACCATGTTCCTTGAAATGCTGTCTCCTATAACACCCAGAGCGACCCTAGTATAAAGTCTACTTGATTATACCCATTTACGAGCTCCAAGAGTTTAAGCAATTGCCTCAGGTCACAGAGCTCATCAGTCACAGAGCAAGAAGTCACACCCAGCTGCATAAATTCCATTTACCTCATTCCATCTGAGTACGGCCTGTCCTTACCTTACAATGGTTCAATTTGCGATTTTTCGACTTTCTGATGTTGCAAAAGCGATACTCATTCCATAGAAATAGCATACTTCAAATTTTGAATTTTGATCTTTTCCTGGGTTAGCAAAATGCCCTATGATGCTGTCTCATGATGCTGATCAGCAACCGTGAGCCACAGCTCCCAGTCAGCCACGCGACCACAAGGGTAAAAAATCGATACACCGACAACCATTCTGTACCCAGACAACCATGCTGTTTACGCTTTCAGCACAGTATTCAATAAGTTATGGGAGCTATGCAACACTTTATTATAAAATGGGCTTTGTCTTAGGTGTTCTGAGCTTGTTTAAGGTAGGCTAGGCTAAGCTATGAGGATTAGGTGTATTACATAAATTTTTGACCTAATGATATTTTGGACGCAATCCCATCATAAGTCAAGGAAGATCTGTAAGGAAAGACATTTGTAATTGTAGATTAGTGGGGTAGGACAACATCAGTACTAGATTTCTTACTATAAATTCTTTAATTCAACTGCAGGTGGCAAGAGAACAGAGTGCAAAAGAAGGCAAGAAGGAATAAGAACTTTTATATTTATGCTTGCTTGTGCAAATTATACAAACCATCATGGAAGTGAGTTACCTTAATATTAAGCAGTTGCTAGCACTAAATGCTTTTCTCTGCGGCTGTCCACATTTTGATGTCCCAGAACGTCATAATTCAATATTAACTGAATAATGCATGTGTGAAATTTCACAAAAATAAGCAAATAACCTTGTATCTTTTTTCTTTTTTTAAGCTATTTTTGGGTGGTGGATGGAGATGACATTGGCCAATGACTTCCCATTTTTTTGACTTTGAAATGAAAACTAGGGAAAGTATATGAAAACAGAGTTTGATAGTTTGGCAAAAAGATGTTTCTAACATCATTATGACCTGCTCAGGATATGAATAAAGTCACACTCCTCAGTCACACTTGTGAGCTCACATACCCACTAGAAGCAAATGTAGTTATTGCCTTTTTTTTTTCAGACTTCCCCACTTCTGCAGATTTTCCAGGAAGCTTAGGTGCTTACTTGCTCAATGAGGATCAGTCTCTTTCTAAATTTCGAGCCTGGAGACAGAGCTGGATTCTGAGCACCTGCGTCTCCCTGCCACACAGCGGAGCTGTAGTAGCTCAGTCCTGCAGAGCCCTGTGATGCTTTCTCTTGTCTGCAGAAATGTCCTGGTCCTCGTCCAGCCTGTAAATTGTACTTCGTCTCCAGAGTAACCATTCTCTTCAACTATATCCAGAAGCCTAGGCATTTTTGCCCACATCTCTTGAGTGCTGTTCCTGAACCAGCCTTCCCTGTGTTCAGTTTAAACATGTGTTAGCCTGTGTCTCCCTTGGCTCAAGGTAACTTTATTTCTGATGTCTGTTGCCTTTCTCTGAACTTCTGATTAGATATGGGTCTTCCTGGCCTTACCTTCTACCCCTAACAGTTCTTTCTTTTTTTATTTTTTTAACTTTTTATTGAGATTATGATAGTTTACAACCTAGTGAGATTTCAGTTGTACATTATTGCTTGTCAGTCATGTTGTAGGTGCACCACTTCACCCTTTGTGCCCACCCCCCACCTCCCTTTCCCCTGGTAGTCACTCGTCTGTTCTCTTTGTCTACATGTTTAACTTCCACCTGTAAGTGGAGTCATACAGAGATTGTCTTTCTCTATCTGGCTTATTTCACTTAACATAATTCCCTCAAGGTCCATCCATGTTGTTGTGAATGGGACGATTTTATCCTTTTTTTTGGCCGAGTAGTATTCCATTGTATATATATACCATATCATCTTTATCCAATCATCAGTTGATGGGCACTTAGGTTGCTTCCACATCTTGGCTATTGTAAATAATGCTGCAATGAACATAGGGGTGCATGGGACTTTTAGAATTGCTGATTTCAAGTTCTTTGGGTAGATACCCAGTAGTGGGATGGCTGGGTCATATGATATTTCTATTTTTAATTTTTTGAGAAATCTCTATACTGTTTTCCATAGTGGCTGCACCAGTTTGCATTCCCACCAGCAGTGTATGAGGGTTCCTTTTTCTCCACAACCTCTCTAACATTTGTTACGTTTTGTTTTGGTTATTTTTGTCATTCTAACGGGTGTAAGGTAATATCTTAGTGTAGTTTTGATTTGCATTTCCCGGATGATCAGTGATGATGAGCATCTTTTCATGTGCTTGTTGGCCATTCATATATCTTCTTTGGAGAAATGTCTATTCATGTCCCCCGCCCATTTTTTGATTGAGTTGTTTGATTTTTTGTTGTTGAGTCCAACAGTTCTTTCTAACTTCAAATCTCAGTGAGCAGCATTGGAGGCCTCTTGTCCCTTCTCTCCCAGAAGACCCACCCCACACTCCCTATACAAATTGAGCCCTCTCTTTCTTAGTGAGCTGCTCTGTATACAACCGGTCACCAGAAGGAACAGCTCTGATGCAGTAATACAAGATTCTGTTCCTGACTCTCCTTGACACACAGTATCACCCACATTTATGTAACTCAGGGAGCCAAGAAAACTTTTTTCTAGGTGATTTTTTTTCTCGTATCTAAATAGAAGAGTGACTGGCATACATTTTAAATCCATTCCCTCAACAGATACCCTGTTTGATGTCTTGGCAGGCACCCTATTGCCAATATAGTACATGACATCTTTAAAAAAAGCTTGGGGTTTGCAATCTGAGCCACTGAGCTTTGAAGTCTGACTCCCGGTCATCACAGCGCGGCTGGGTTATGTTGTCTCCGTCTGGGATTGCTTTCTTCTTGCCTCCTGTTTCCGCCTCACCGATCTGACTTTCACGCTGCAGCCAGATTGATTTGTCTAAACCCCTGCTCTGCATAACAGGCTTTCAAAAAAATCCCCTTTTGTATATTCCAAGCTTTCCGTATCAATCTTGCATTCCGTTTGTATTTTAGAAAAAAAAAAATTAAGCAGGTGGTGCATAAATAAAACGTGCTGCCATACCAGATAGCAGTCAAAATAGAATGAACTAGATCTCTACGCAGCAGCAAAGATAAATCTGCAGATCATTCCATGAGTGAAAAGACATGTTGCAGATATGTTCCAAACAGTTTTATTTATGTTCAAATTTGGACCTACAGAGAGTAAAGTAAGTTGAGATGCGAAGGGTCCAGTCAATAGCATTTCCCTTCCCCACAAAGTTCAAAACCATCACATCACAAGTCAAGCCCTGTGGGTAGCCTCTTGAAGGGCCCTCCATTTGGGCTGAAGCAGGAGAAAGGGCATCCCTCTTTCCTCCTCTATGTTGGCATAAGGGTGAGGATAAGCAGAGCACCGCAGCAACTACTTTCTCTGAAAAGGCCCCAGCGCTTTGATCTCTTCATCCTCTGGGAGATGAGTGATGGGGTCATATCGGCCCCTGTCCTCAAGTACTAACATGGAATTTCTATGCTTCAGAATATGGGGTATTAGATAGCTTTGCTCTGTAGGCAGTCTTTGCGGGAGATTTCTGCACAAACTCCCGGGTAGTAGGAGATGACGTCGTTACCATGTTATTACGCTTTGTTAAGGTCGGAAGCTGTCACCAATGAGCCCCACTGCCATTCATCCAGCACCCAGTTCTTGCTGGGCACTCAGACGTGAACAAGGCCAGGCTCCCGGCTTTGGGAGTTTCAGAGCCAGTTGGAATTACCTTCCTAGTCAGTTCTCTGTAATGGTCGCCTCGGAACAAGCTAAGCCTCAGTCACAGGGGTGACTCACCAGCATGACACCCGCCTGTACTTCCCCACTTCAAGGCCTTTGCTACGTGTGTCCCTCTGCTCGTGGTGACCTTTGTTCCTCCGGTGAACACGTACTCACCCTGAAGGCCAGGAACCCCATGCTGATTCCCGGACACAGCGTTTCTCCCGTCCCTACCCGCCGATCCTTCCCCCGGCTCCTCTAACCCTTCTCCAGATCATCTTGGATCGGCTTGAGCTACACATGTGTCTGTCTCCCCCACTGGACTGGGAGCTCAGAAGGGCAGAGATCTTAGCTTTTTCATTCCTGTTTTCTAAGATGCCTGACGCAACGACTGGCACCCAGTAGAATGGATGACGTCTTAATGCGCCTTTGTCCCATGAGCTGCGTGGCCCTCAGGACATCGAGCTGATTCCCCTCCTTCCTGAGGGTCTCCCTTATCCTGAAGGCCCTGGATTCCAGAGGAGTCTCAGCAAGAGTGGCTGTCCAGATGTGTGGGAAGTGCACTGGCAGAGGATCAGGAGTGGGTTTGCATCCCTGCCCTCTCGGCTTCCTGGTCCATGGCAACCACCTTCCCTTTCTGGGCCTCTGTCTCTACCTCTCAGATAGGGGCTTGTCACTCCCAGCTCTGAACATATATATAAGAATCTGTTGCTGTTTGCTGTGCTTCTCTCAAATCAAACCTCCCATGTCTCTGTCTCTTTCTCTCTTTTCTTCCCCTCTGTCCTTCCTCTTAGGTGCGTAATAAACCAAGAGTTTACAGTAAAAGCACAGGAAGAGCTGAATGATGTGTTCTCTTCAGGAAAGTACCTGGTCCCCCAGGGAGCCAGCGGCTGCTCAGGAGCCCCATGCCTCCTCCCGAGCTGTGGCTCCTGAGGACTTTCAATGTCGACCCGGCAACCCAACTCCAGCCTTTGATGTGGCTTTGACAGTGCATGACTCACAAGCAGCCCTGATTCAGAGCTGTGCAAAAGCTCGCCACCTCCTGCCTCCAGCCCCAGGGATCGAACAGTGGTGGTAGGGGACAGTCAGAAGGTCCATCAGGAAAATGGTGCAGAGCATGACAATCTCATTAATGACACTCCACATGATCCCCAGACTTCAGGCAGGACCAACCTCTTCACCATCCACCAAAGACCTCCTAGAGAGGAAGACAGACATGCCCTTAGAATCCGTGTGCGCCCTGAGAAGTCAGGCGAGGCTGAAAGGAAGTCCCTGAAGAGAGAATACATTGAATAATGAGCCCCTGAAGCTTCGGAGATGTCTGCGCTCTTGTAAAGAACTGAGGAATCCCCAATTTGTTTATTCATATTTTATTCTTAGGAGAAAGAAAGGTGATGGAGGAGCCTGAAGATATGGTTTCAACCCATGACTTTCATTCAACTCATTCATTCATTCACTTACTCAGCAAAGATTTGAGGACCTATGTTATACATGGCACTATGCTGGGAACCAGGGACACAATGGTTTTAGTTACATAGATATGTGGATAGGGATATGGATATAGATATAGACAAAGCTACAGATACGGATATAGATACAGATACATATGTAGATAAAGACTGGGTCCTTGCAAACTCAGAGTCTGCACTGGTCGCAGGCATTATACAGTGACACGAATAATTGTGGTAACTGCTGGGAGGGAAATGACTGGTGAGCCACCAATCTATAAAATGGGGGAATCCTGACTTATTCTGGGGGTCAGGTGAAGCTTCCTGCATAGTCATTTGAGAGCTGAACTCCAGTGAAAGGAGACCACCTCCGCCAACCCCCTGACCCCAAACACTGTCATTAACCTAATTGTCATGTGGGTTCTGGAGGCAGACGGCTGGAGTTTCACCCTGTCTCTCCTATCAAGTAAGTGGTTTTGTAAAGTCCTCGAGGACCCAGGCTCCGTCCTTCCACCTTCCCATCTGCAGCCCTAGAACATTGCTTTCAGTTTCAGGGCACAGGATGGCTGCTGCTCCTCCAGGCATCACGACTATTTTCAGGTGCAAACAAAGGAAGGACCACATGCCAAAGGGGACATTTCCTTTTAAAGAGGTTACCCAGGAGCTCCACCCATTGGATTCTGCATACATCTCATTGGCCAGAACTGGATCTTACAGCTACTCCTAGTTGTAAGGATGCCTGGGCTGGAGGCAAGAGGACTTGAAACTGGGCACTTTGCCTCTTTGAACCAAATCAAAGGAGACTGCATGGTAAATTGGCTGTGCCTGCCCCAGTTATAGTCGGCTTTATTGGTTTTTTGTTTTGTTTTGTTTTTTGCAATTTCTCTTTTCCTCACATTTGGCAAAACTGACTGGATTTTCTTTCTGGAAATGAACCTGCTCCCATGATGGAAGTTCCTGATGTCCTGCCTTCTTGAAACCAAAGAATGGACCTTCAGGACTTTGAATCCTGAGTGAAAAAGAGAAAGATGGAAAAACAGTTGGAGTACATTCATTCCAAGCCATGGTCAAAGCTACTGGTTATTTTCTGCTATCTAGAACCCTGGAACTGCCCAATTTCTGTTTTTTTCACACTTGGTTTTCTACTCTTCTCTCAGATCCGGTGAGCCAAAGCCTCTTCTCTCTCTTCCTGGATGCCTCCACTCAGAAGTGCCCTCTTGCCCCTGCCCCTTCTCCTCCCCTATCCCCTTCCCCTCCCCCGACCCCCAGCACCCAACTCTTCCCTTGAAGCCCAACCTAGCAGTCAGGTTGGTTGGCTTTTCTGCTTTAGGTGGTTGTCTGGGCCCTTCGCTGCCCCCACACTCTAGACTGTCAAGTCCTTGGGGGCAGGGGTGGAGTCTAATTCATTTTAGGGTCTCCAGTGTCTAGCCTGGTGATTAGCATGTGCAGTTTCTCAGCATGTGTTTATTGTTTTTTTACAGGTCCAGCAAGGTACTGGGACAAAGCAGAAGACAAGAGTCTTGGCCATGGAGAGATTCCTGACCATGTCTGCAGGCCTTTTCTCAGAATCCTGCCATCTGGATAGACTTAGTGACTCCTGTTCTTCAGTAAGTCTGTCCTCTGCTCTATATGACAACAAATTCTCCCGCTCGTCCCCTCCACTTTCTCTTCTTCCTCCTCCTCTATCTCTCTCTCCTCCCCGTTCTTGTTGTCATCATGCCTTCATCATCATCATCATCATCATCATCATCATCATCATCACCATCCTCCTCCTCCTCATCATCCTTGGTAACTCATATTGAGCATTTACTGTGTACCAGACCTGTTCCAAGTGTTATCTAAGAGAATAAACCTCTTGCCCAAGATTACAGCTAACTCATGCAAGGGTTAGGACTCAAACTCAAGTCCGATTGACCCAAAACCTGTGTTCTTGACTCCTGCCTCCCTCAGCCTCAGAGGCTCTGGGGAGATGGGGTACCGCTGCACGCACGTTCCACCTTAAAATCCTTCCACGAACTCTGCAGTGCCCGCTGTAGGCACACAGACCCCTCAGCCTGATGGCCGGTGCTTCCCTCCGTCTGCACGGCGCCAGCCTTCACACTGACCTGTCTCTGTTTACTTTACACCTCTGAGATACTAGCCCAGCCCTCCGCTTGGCGCACCAAGCATTCACTGTGCTTTCCTAGCCTGACATCTTTGCTGTATGTTCTGTCCACCTGAAGTGCCCTCCCCCGGTCCACCTGTGGAAATCACACCTTTCGTTTAAGACCTATGTCAAGTGAAGAAGGCACATGACATTCTCCTGGATTCCCGCCTCCCCCCACCCCCCTGCCTTTCAAACCTCAACTCTCTCTCTTCTTTGAACCTCCACAGCACCTCTTCTTTTCCTCTTGGGGTCTAAGGAAGAAGTGTAGGGGAGGAACTCAGGCTTTGGAAACAAGCACTCCGTGTTGAAATCCTTTTCTAGCCCCTTGCTAGCTTTATGAACTTTGGCAAGTTACTTAGCCTTTCTGAGTCTCTTAGGATCTGTAAAAAGGAGATCATAGTATGTACTTTGGGAATATGAGACCATTCTCATAAAATGCCTTATGTCCCTGCCACCCATCCTGACTGCCACTTTGTTATATCTGCAAAAACCTTCTCTCTGAGGCAAAGATGCTAGGCAGCCCACAGGCCTGACTTTCTACCCTTTATCTTCCAAGGAATAGATCATTTTTAGTGATAACGGTATTAAGAAATGACGCCATTGGCTGTTTTTACTTCTGTCTAGTCTACCGGGGCACTCATTGCCCTCGTAGTAATTTCCCGGCCTCCTCATGTCTCAGTCCCCAAGTGCCTGGTGGGCAGCAACCTAGACATGAATATCTGCCCCATCAAGGATGGAACTTCTATCTCAATGGGCTTGCCGCTGGTCTGTATTGGTAGGTCAGATAAAGGGCATTACAGAGCATGTGTGTGTTGGGAGGGGAGGATGTATGCATACGTGGAAGGAAAGCAACCTGGTTCTAGTTATGGAATGCCTCTCACTCATTGTGTGATTCTGTCAAGTCTCTGCCCCTCTCTGGCCTCAGTTTCCCATCTGTACAATGGGATGGTGGGACTCAATCACTAAGCAATGTCCACCTGAATCAACCCTTAGGGTTTGTGAGTCTGTTTTAGGGATGTTAGCTTGGCTTTGGATGCCTCATGGTGTTGGGGGAGGGGTGATTATTGATGGTGGGTCATCCTGCACCGGAGGAGTCCAGGATATGTGTGTGGGTAAGGGGGGAGGGACCAGGACCAATCTAGGGGACCACTGAGGGGATGTGTGACATCTACCAAGGGACAGTCACTGGGAATTCAGTACCACTCGGAATTCTTGAAGACACTTCAGACAGCCTTTATAGATTACTCTAAAGGCAAACAATTGATATTCAGTGAGTACCTACTGTGTACCTATGTGATGCTGATAGGAGCTCTACACGTATGTTTTTATTTTTTTATACAGATAGTTGAGTTACTCCAACACTGCATCTCAGGGCACAGTATCATCATTGGTCCAAACAGCCTCTTTTGTTTCATTTTTATTTTATTAGCATTATTTTTCTTTCCCACACTTTTGTCCCCTCTCCCACCCTCCCCTTACCTCATCATAAGGATATGTGTATATTTTTAAAAGTGTGTAGTGTGTATGGTGAATGTGTAAGCTTTTTTCTTCTTTTTTTTTTGTGATGAAGATTGGTCCTGAGCTAACATCTGTTGCCAATCTTCCTCTATTTTATGTGAGATGCCGCCACAGCAAGGCTTGATGAGCAGTGTGCAGGTCCGTGCCTGGGATCCAAACCTGTGAGCCCCAGGCTGCCGAAGCAGAGCACACGAACTCAACCACTATGTCACCAGGCCAGCCCCAGAATGTATAAGCTTTTAATTTACATAGATGATGCTGTGAAATATACCTCATTCAGTTTCTTCTCACTTTACTCAACATTTTATTTAAGACTCTATCCACGTCAGTGGATGTACTTCTAGGTGACATTTCTCACTGCCACATGTCTCAGGGTGGAACCACTACAACTGTACTCTTCCATTCTCCTAGGAATGTGTATTGCCTCCAGTTCCCAGAAGCAGTGACAGGACACAGATCTTGTCTGCTACTCATTGTTTTTTCCCCAGTGCTGTTGAAGGGCAGACACTTGCTGCTAATGGAGGTAGTTTTAGGTGCTTCACAGTATGACTATGAGGAACATGGAATTATATACTATATTGTTTCATGAAGATCCTATCAGTCTGGTGCCAGCAACTCATCGTCAACCCTCTTTGCTCACTAAATTTCCCTTTTTTAATAGATCAGAAGCAGGCCTCAGGCTAACGTATTTGCAGGCAGCACACTCTAGGTGAAATTTAATTATGTTGGAAAATTAATTAAAATGTAATTTAATAAAATGTATTTATTTAAATGATTCTTTCTATTTTTAACAAGCAACTTTGGTTTTCTACTTAAAGAAGTGACATTCCATATTTAATAGGATCTAAAATGTTGCTGATTACAAGGACATCATTATTCTATACTCCACTAAGAAATAAAAATAATTCTGCTAATTAAACCATCCTACATCACTGAGTGTAAGAAGCAGGCTGCTTTCAAAGATGTTAAAATGTGAACAAATGTGCATCTGCTTTTGTTTCTTTTCGCAAATAAGGTTATTTAAGTAAAGAAGAGAGCTGATTTATGAAAAAAATAGCAAATAAATGACAATTCTGGTGTTAAGTGAATTTGGTGGGAATGAGGACACTGGTGCAGGAATGACTGGAGTTTGGGAACTGGGAAACACTGAATTATCTCATGTGGGCGGTCCTCGTACCCGCTTTGTAAGGGAGGTGTGGTTATTCCCGGTTAGCAGGTAGGGAGGAGGGGTGACCTGTCCAGGGCCACAAGGGTAAGAGTAAATTTATTCTCAAGTAGGTCGGGCAAAAGTCCCCACTTCCAGGTACCAAAAGTCCATAAAACTTGGGATCTGATTCAGCATGGCTCCTCTCCTGTCCCTCCTCTCTGAGAGGCCTTGATGAGGGACCAGATCTCGGCCTGTTTCCTTCCACCTTTGAGTCCTCCAAGCACCGGAATGCTTTCATGTTAGCAAACACCTTTCACTCCTGCCTTTGTATGAATGAGTGTGTTCTGGTCCCTTACTCACAATGCCTCCATTATCAGTGGAGAAGTCAAAGGATGATGAGTGGACATTTCTGACATTGAGGCATCCATGAAGGGATGTATATTGAAGACAGAGAATATTCAAGATATAGTTGTAGTAGTAGTAATTGCTTTGTTAGTTACAAGTTCTTTCACTTTTATTTTCTTTTGACCCCTACCACAATCATGAGTAGATATTCTCCTCATTTTACCGGTGGAAAGACTGACAAGATTAATTCGCCTCAAATCACATAATTATTCACTGGTAGAACTGTAAGTAGATCCATGAAGTCAGTGCCTTTCTCTTTTTCTCATAAACTTTAATTTTGAGCTAATTGTAGATTCGCTGTTGTAAGAGGAAATATAGAGAGACCCAAGAGATCTGGTGTATTACTGGGTTCACCACTTTCCCCTGTTGGTAACATCTTGCCGTATCACACAGTACCATATCACAACCAGGATGCTGATGTTGCTATAATCAAGATACAGAACATTTCCACAGACCTATCCCCTGGTGTTGCCCTTTTGTGGTCACACCCACCTCCCTCTCCTGCACCCATCTCATCCCTGACTTAAGCCAGACACAGATCTGTTCTCCATTTCCATAATTCTCTCATTTCAAAAATGCGACATAAACGGAATCATAAAGTATGTAACCTTTTGAGATTGTTTTTTTCACTCAGCTTAATTCTCTGGAGATTCAGAGAGTTGCTCGGTGTATCGATAGTTCATTCCTCTCTATTGCTGAGCAGCATTCCACGGTAGGGATGGACCACAGTTTGCTTAACCATTCGCTTATTGAAAGATATCTGGGTTGTTTGCAGTTTTGGGCTATTACAAATAAAACTTTTATGAATGACCTTGCACAGGTTTTTGTGTGAACATAAGTCTTCATTTCTCTGGAATAAATGCCCAAGAGTGCAATTGCTAGGTCGTATGGCAATTACATGTTTATTTTTTTAATAAGAAACTGCCAGAATGGCTGTACTATTTTGCATTCCTCACCAGCAATATACAAGTGACCCAGTTTCTCTGCAGCCTCACTAACATATGATTTTGTCACTAATTTTTCCTTTGGTAAATTTGATAAATGTGTGGTTATATCTCATTGCAGTTTTAACTTACTTTCCCCTAGTGGGTAATGATGCTGAACATCTCTTATGTGCTTGCTCGCCGTTGGTATATACTCTGGTGAAATTCAGCTTCTTTTTTGCCCCTGAATTCCTTTCCATTTTTTCCCCCAATATCTTTTCTTTAAAAAAATTAAAATTTCTATTGAGATAATTGTAGATTCACAAACAATTGTAAGAAGTGACACAGAGACCAGTAATACAAAGGTGAATAACTCAAAAACTGAGCAAAGGATTTGGATAGACATTTCTCCAAAGAAAATATACAAATGGCCAATCAGCATGTGAAAAGATGCTCAACGTCATTAATCATTAGGGAAATGCAAATCAAAACCACGATGAGATACCACTTCACACCCACTAGGATGGTTATAGTAAAAAAAGAAAATAACAAGTTTTGGTGAGGATATGGAGAAATTGATGGGAATGTAAAAGTACAGCTGTTTGTCAAAAGGTTAAACACAGAGTTACCATATGATTCAGCAATTCCATTCCTAGGTGTACGCTCAAGAGAATTAAAAACATGTGTCCACACAAAAACTTGTGAGTGAACATTCACACTAGCATTATCCATAATAGCCAAAAAGTGGAAACAAGCCAAATGTCCATCAACTGATGAATAGATAAATAAAATGCGGTATATCCAGACAATGGAATGTTGTTTATCAACAAAAAGAAATGAAATATTGATTCATGCTACAATAAATGCTATCTAAGAGAAGTCAGTCACAAAGGACCAACTATTTTATTATTTCAATTTTATGAAATATCTAAAACAGGAACATCTATAGAGACAGCAATAAATTAGTGGTTGCCTAGGGCTTGGGTTATGGGGGGACGGTGGGGTAATGGGTAAAAGATGCAGGGAGTTTTGGCGGAATAATAAAATGTTCTAAAATTGTGGTGATGGATACACAACTCTGTGAAATACTAAAAGCCATTGAATGGTACACTTTACATGAGTGAGTTGTGTGGTCCATGAGTCATGTCAATAAATTTGTTTTTCTAAAAAAAATAATAATAATACAGAGAGAGTCTGTGTACCCTTTATCCGGTTTTCCCCAATGGTAATATTTTGTGAAACTATAGTATGATAGAATACTGAATGCAGGATATTAAGATTGATACAATCCACTGATGATATTTAGATGTCTCCAATTTTACTTGCACTCATTTCTTTGTGTGTGTGTCTGTGTGTGTGTGTATTTAGTTCTATACATTGTACCACTTGTGTAGATTTGTGTATCCACTACCATAATCAAGACATTAAATGGATTATTGCCTCTTTTAGAGCACTGTTCACTCTAGATTCTGTCTGAAGCAGTGCTCCAAAGACCTTTAGTTTGTCCCCACTGCTAATAACCCAAAGCAAGGCAGCTGCCCCTCTTGCCTCCAAGCATACTCTGCCTTGCTGTCAAAGGGCAGGAGTCAAAGGGGGACATGCATTCCCACCCACACCGGAGGGACAGACGGTTGGGATTTGGGGCACCATTCATCTAGATTCTAGAATCACCTACACTTCTGAAAGAGTAGGAAGTTATCTTAGCAAAAGGAGGAACATAAATTCTGGAGGGGGGATACGCCCCCGTGTCTCCACTGCCCGCTTTCTCCTCCCACCAATTTCGGAAGCGATCTCTCTTAACTCCCAGGCCCGGCGGGTGACTTGTCAGCATTTTCGGAGATCCGGTATTTATTGGGTTGCCGCTAGCAAACGCTCTCAGGGAGAGACCTGGCAATGATTCATCTGTACTAATCCCTGTGTTTTCAACAGCCTTGCTTCTGTGCAAGGGGACAGCCCCGATCGCTCTTCCACATCATCATCACTTTGGTTTCTCTCAAAATGTTTGCTCAGAAAAAGCCCAGAGTTTGACCTCGGTTCATTCTGGGCTTCCAGGGGAATTTCCCATCCTCCCCGGACTCCATGGGTGAAGTTGCTAGAACGTTCCCTCCTTACCTGGTGGGGCAGAAGGTAAAACTGGCTCCAGCACAGGTGTTTCTTTGGATCAAAGACAAACTTACTAGGATCACATCATCTGGGACAAGAGGTGTGGGAAGAAGTTTCGGTCATAACTCTCTGTTCCGCCAGCGTGATCCAACTGCCCTCTAATCACTGGTCCTGTCATTGCTGACCCACACTAGTCCCAACTCCACCCTCCATCTGGATCTTACAACCCAGCCAGGATTTGGCCATCTAAGACATCTTTTGTACCTCTACCCACTACCACCCCAACCGTGGCCCCGAACTCTGACTACATTCATCCAACGCCATCCATGCAAAACACCAAACTCCAATACTCATAATCGCAGTTCAATTTTGCACTGTGACAGGTGCATGGTAGAATCTCCCAAAATGAGATCTACTACTAATGATAACAATAATATCTTGATTAGTTGAACAACTTGGTGAGACAAATAGAAGCTTAGAGATGTGAAAAGAGTTGCCCAAGATCACAGAGTGTAATGGCAATAAAAATTTGTAATAACCAATTTCCATTTCTCCCTTTGAGTCGTGGTTTCCTTTCAGCCTTCTACCTCCTTTAAGTTCATTATCCCGGAGGACAGGTACCTGACCTCCTTAGTAAGAGCGTAGCCTTGCAAACTGGGTCTTATAGAGAAGAAAAGGATTTGTTAAATTCCTTATCTCCCATTTATCATATCGAAGATTAAGCCTAGAGGACTCAACGTGTGCCCCTGTATACCATTAAGGTTCAGGTGTGAGGTTGACTTTGGGAAGAATGAAGACCTGATGCGAGGGAAACTCTGCCCCTCCCTTTACCAGCTGTAGTTGTTATGGTTCTCCAGAGAAAAATAGAGCCAATAGGATGGAGACTCCTGCCCACACCGGAGATTAGAGAAAGTTTTATTTTCAAGAATTGGCTAATGTGACTGTGGATGCCGGCAAGTCCAAATCCCAATCTGTAGGATGGACTAGCAGGCCCGAGACTCAAGAAGAGTTGATGTTGCAGCTTGAGTCTGAAGGCAGTGTGCTGGCAAGATTTCCTCTTCCTTGAGGGAGTACAGTCTTTTCCTTAAGACCTTCAATTGATTGGACGAGGCTCAGCCACACTGTGGAGGGCGATCTGCTTTACTCAAAGTCTACTGATTTAAATGTTAATCTCATCTAAAAAATACCTTCACAGCAATATCCAGACGTGTTTCATCAAAGATCTAGGTACCATGGTCTAGCCAAG